GGTTCCACTGCCGAGCGGTAGTCCTGTCAAAAGGACGACTGTACCTGGGCAGGTTTTTTCCCTCAGATGAGGTTTTTCCCTCCCTTCAAGCAAATGCGGTACAGGGGGTTGGGGGGGTGGGAAGGGAACCAACTAACCGTAAAGACCCGAAAGGGTATACGAGAGAAAATAAATTTAAATTTTAATTAAATAATTATAAAATAATCAAATAAGTCAAGAATAATTAAATATTGAACAACTGAGTCACGAGACTCAAGTTTTGAATGTCAGAAAAGAAATGACAAATAAATTAAAACGACTGAGTGACGAAACTCAATTGCTACTCGTCGGAAAAGTCATAAGATTTAATCAGGAATAAATTTTATAAATTATCAAAATAATTCAGTGAGTTCAAACAATAACGCGATAATCGATAAGTCTACGTGACCTCGAACACTCAAAATATACAGAATAAATATAAACCAGAGACAAATTCTCACGAAGTCACGAGACCTTGAGATTAAATAAAATCGAAATACAATTCAATAGCGACGTTTCACATTTTATCGCGACAAAAATTATCAACCGGAAGTCGCGAAACTTTCGAATTCAATATAAAAAAAATCATTGATATAAAAAAAAAATAAAATAACATATTCGAGAGGGAGAAAGTCACAAAATTCACTGATTCGAGTGACCAGAGATCCCCAATAAAATAATTTAATAGTCCTACAGGACTTGGGTGTACGCAACACCACCCAGAATAAATGAGATCTCTGCCCAATAATAAAAAAATAAATCACAAACAAAATAAGACGGCCACCACGCTCACCCAAATGCTCGCAGGTATCGATAAAGTAACTAAACTCCTTCAAAATCACAAATATCCAATAAATGGCTGTAATGGCGTTCCGTAATTTTCAGTGGTATCCTTCATAATTAAATCTCTCGTATATACGCCCTGAGGAACTACCAAACGGGAAGTGTTGGCCGAAAACACGTGAACGCGAGGCAATAAGTAATGAACGCGGCGAAAATTGTGATTGGTGATGACAACGTCATCATTTGCCAATTCAAATGCTCAATCGGTGTGAATAATTATTCACGCATGCGCCATCCAATTCAGCGATGCTTAACAGTAATTTTCTTGTTTATCATTAATGAGAATAAATTCTCATCGCTTCCTAACAAAATCCAAAACTATTTCCACGTTCAAAACAATCCCGAGAAAATAGTAACTCTCCGTAATTTAGTTTAATAATATTTTTCATTAATCGTCAGTCCGCTTCGTGCTCAGTAACTGCGTCCCTTCCGATGGTAGAATGACTGCATTATGGCTCTATTATCGGCCCAATCCAAAATCCAATTATCATCAAAGTTTGAGGAGTCTGATGACATCTCTCGGCGTTCTGGGGATCATCGACGATGTCCTCGGATTGGAACGCGGTGGCGCGCAGTTTAAATTAAAAATAAAACAAAACAAAAGAAAACACTTCTCGCCATTGAAGGTGACTTCCCGTCTGGTGGAAGTCTCTCAAATCACGCGAAACGGTCGAGAACCAGTAACTGGTAAAAATACCACGTTACAGCCATAAGCCGTGAAAAAAAACTTTTCTGAAGAATGGATTCATTTTGCGCGTCAACAGCATATGACATACATTGATTTTCATCGTGAGGCGTAAGTAACTGAGTTCTAAGCAGGCCTAGGTCTGTGACTAATACTTACCAGTCCTAAGCGTGAAAAGAACGGGGGTAGGCGAGGCCAAGTAACAAGAATAATTTTTTTTATATTTGAACCATAGAATCAGTGACAATATTT